TTTCTTCTTCTTCTTCTTCTTCTTTTTTTTCTAAAAGATGACCAGTAAGGGGATCTTAACCCTTGACTTGGTGTTATCAGCAGCACGATCTCCCAAGTGAGCCACAGGCCAGCCCTTTAAGATGGCATTTTTCTTTCAGCATTATAAAGATGTCACTCCACTGTTTTCTGACTTGCATTGCTCCTGATGAGATGTCTGCAGTCATTCTTATATTTGTTCCTCTGTACATAATATCTTTTTTCTTTAGATGCTTTTAAGATGTTTTGCTGATTTTAAGCAATTTGATTATGAGTCGATATAGTTTTCTTTGTTTCTTGTGTTTGAGACTCATTAAACTTCTTAGGTCAGTGAGTTTGTAGTTTTTACCAAATTTTTCAGTCATTACTTCATAAAATATTTTTCTTCCCACCCCTCCACTGCCAGGGAGGTCGAAATGTCACTGCTTGAAGTTGTCCCACAACCAGCTGATGCTCTGTTCGTTCTTCAGTCTTTCCTCTATCTCTGTTTCATTTTGGATAACTTCTGTTGCCATGTCTCAGACTTTTAAGTCCATGCCTACCTCACTCCTGAAACTTGATGTTTTACCCCAAAATGATGCATTACTTTAATGTATACATGTATGATTCTGAGTTTGCATGGTTGACATTCCATAACCCATTGTTGAATCATTGCATGGCTGTTAGTATTATTGGAAACTTCTATGACTTATCACTGACTTATTATAATAATAATGGATTTATGTCCTAGGAGACAAAGGATCAGCCGGAAGAGGCTGTTTTTCCTTTCTTTGCCTTTGGCTAATTCATCTTCTTGGATAAATCTGTTGAATTTCTTTTTCAACAGGTGCATCAGGCTCTGGGTGCTGATTATCTGCTGGATTTCTGTTCTTACTAGTTCTTACCTTTTTCCACTGTGTTGCCTCTGGTTTTTCCTGATGCTGGTATGATTCCTACTTTGTGGAGGCAGTATCTGTATTCATCCTTTATATACGTTTTGGAATTTTTATAAATCATTGTATGCTACAAGGAGAACAAACATAACATCAGACCTGTTCTACTATATTCACTATTCTTTTGTATTACAATGACTTTACATTAATTTGTCTCTTTTGTGAATAAGTATGGATCTCTGGTCTTTCACAAGCACAGCTCATCCCAATTAACCAAAATTAATTTCTTTTTGATGAACAAATTGCTTCACTTCTGGCCACTGGGAGCCCCTGGAAGCTGATTCCTTCATCCCTTCAGCATTCCTTCAGCAGGCACCCTTGAAAGCAGCCTTGCTTTCAACCAACAACAGGATGCTCCAGACTCATCCTGATTTTTCCTCCTCCAGGACATGGAATGGGTCATCATCCCAAGTCCTGGTTCTTTCCCAGAAGTCTGCATGGGAGCTAGTGAAGAAGTGGAGAAGATGTGTCTTTGCAGGGTCAAGAGTTCACTTTTTCCAAGTCAGCATATGATGCCACTAAGACTTTCTGCTGCTTTCCATTGTTCTGACATCCAAGAACAGTGGATGAACTGCAAAGCATAAGAAACACAATTTACATAGTGACCCAGTGCACCCATACATACATTTAGACTGAAGTTCCATGGTCTACATTTACCCTATAACATATGATGCACACTGATGTTTTGCTTTTTGTTTCTAAAAGTTAGTTCAGAGCCACTAATCTGATTTGTGATCCACTATGGCTGTTCACCTAGATAACAACCCTGTCCAGAGTACTGCTTTTCCTGTCCTTTGAAAGCCTGTTCCTTTCTTCACTGTCTCTTGAATTTTGGCAATGGGACCAAAATTTGGCAAATGGGACCATGGTTGCTACTTTTCTTGCTTGCTTGCTTTCCTTTCTTTCCTTCCTTTTCTTCCCTTTCTTTCTTTCTGTATGTTTGGGGGCAGGGGGTGCTATTTGCTCAAAGGAGCCATGGTTGGGGGGGGGGGGGTGGTTTTTGGCAAAGGGGGCGCGGGGGGGGGGGGGGGCCCCAACCCCAAGGGGGGGGGGGGGGCCCCAACCCCAAGGGGGGGGGGGGGGCCCCAACCCCAAGGGGGGGGGGGGGGCCCCAACCCCAAGGGGGGGGGGGGGGCCCCAACCCCAAGGGGGGGGGGGGGGCCCCAACCCCAAGGGGGGGGGGGGGGCCCCAACCCCAAGGGGGGGGGGGGGGCCCCAACCCCAAGGGGGGGGGGGGGGCCCCAACCCCAAGGGGGGGGGGGGGGCCCCAACCCCAAGGGGGGGGGGGGGGCCCCAACCCCAAGGGGGGGGGGGGGGGTTCTCATCCCCATACTGTTCACCTGGACTCTGTTTAAATCCTCCTTCACTAGCTCAGTTAGGACCTTCAGCTAAGGAGGGCTGTCTCCTCAGCGGCAGAGTGGAACCACTGGGAGCCATGTCTAGAGTTTGAAAAAGCATGTCCGGTATTCTCTTCCCAGTTTATTCATAATGCGAGCTCCAGTAAAGCCAGATCATTCTCATGTTTTGTGTGTAAATAAGAGAGGGCTCAAAATTGCTATCTGCAAGAACTCCACCCAAAACAAGAAACAGAAAGACATTGTAGGGGCCAATGGTCTTTATTTCCAATAAATGAAAAGTCAAATAGGATATGATCTAGATTTTATTTTCTCTTTTAAACAGCACCAGCATCAGCAGCAGACTCCTTGCAAAGACAGGATTCTGGGTACCACCCCAGGCCTGCTGAATTAAAACCTGCTTTCTGGGCTGGCCAGTTAGCTCAGTTGGTTAGAATGTGGTGTCTCACCCTAAGGTAAAGAGTTCAGATCCCTGTACCTACCAGCCACAAAAAGAAAGAAAAACTGATGTACTGATTAAGGGGATGTCCCCACTTCTCACCTCTGACCTTCGCTTTTCTGTGATCATAAAAATGCTAAAGTTCTCTTTGGAAAGGACTTCACAGGGCAACTTGGTGTTTTCCCCAGCAGGGTCACACATACTTGGCTCAAATAAACTCTCGGGGATACTTTATTGGTGCCTCAGGATCTTTTTCCAGGCCCACAACTACACCCACTGCACTGCACACGACACGCATATTAACCGGATGGTCTGTGCATGGTGGGAGCACTTAATCCAGATGCCACTGTCAGCGCAGGGAATCGAGGCACCCACGCGAAGCACGACAAGGTGAAGGGAGCGTCACCGGGAGGCGGGTGGGAAGGATGGGGGCGTGGCCAGAGGTTGGGCGGGCAGGAGGTGCAACCTGGACGTGGTGTGGGTAGGGGTGGGGTGTGACCAGGGCTTGGGCGTGGCCGGGCGTCAAGGGCGGGTCCGAACATCAGGGGCGGGACTGGACATCAGGGGCGTGACCTGGCCGCGGGGTGGAGGCGTGGCCAGAGCTTGGGAGTGGCCGGGATTCGGGGGCGTGGCCAGGATGTTGGTCGGGACGTGACCTGGCCGGGCGCCAGGGGCGGGGCGGGGTGAGGCCGGCGGGCGGGCGGTTGGCGTCGCCGGGTAACGGAGGGGCGTGGCCAGCTTAGGGGGTGGGGCTGCCGTTGCGGGGCGGTGCTCAGCGGTTTCCCTCCCCCAACGGCGCGCCCGCTGAGGCCCT